CCCCCCCCCAAATCCTGGTGCCCCAGGCGACCGCCTAGGTCGCCTAAATGGAAGCGCCGGCCCTGGGCGGGAACATGCCTGGGCTGCCTGTCAACATCAACTCCAAGCCAGGGGTGGGGTTTGTGTCGCTCCGCCCTGGGCGTGGAGCTGGCATGCCTGCTGGTACGGGTCTGGCTGGCTGCGCGGCAAGGCACCTCCCTTGGGTGCCGAAAGCTGCTGCCTGGGTCACCCTTGCTGTGCCGTTGCTCCCGGCTTGAGGGGACGTGGGGCTGAGCGGGGGGGTCTCATCCTGGCACCACTGGCACTGCATGTGGCCAGGAAGTGGCGTTGCTTCACCCTATAGATGGCTGGGGACAGACGCTGTCCAGCCTTCTAATCAGTCCACAACGGGCTAGATCTTCCATTCCACACTGTGTAAATTGCCCCCTCCCTCCCCCGAGGGTCTCTGCCTTGAGGCTCACCTGTTTCTGTCTCTTTGGCTTAGCTCTTCAGGTCAGGTGATCTTTGGGGACGCCTGTGCCGGGACCACCACCCGCACCATCACCAGTGTGCAGGGCGAGCACCAGATCAACCAGATCGCACTCAACCCCGCCGGCACCATGCTCACCTGCCCAGCCCCTGCGCTCCAGCCCCGGCCCGGCCCTGGAGCGGAGCTGGGCACGACAGAGGGGTGGCTGGAGGACGCTGCCCTTCCGTGGGAGCCTCTGCTCCGGCAGAGCCGAGCCCCGACCTACAGCCACTCACCGCGACCCGCGAGCGCCCGGCGGGGAGCGCAGCCAGCCCGGCCCGGGGCGCACTGACAAGCCGGGGTAAACTGCGCCTGCAGTGCGAGCCCTCCCCTCCGGGAGCCGTTCCCCTGCAGAGGGCGCTGGGAAATGTAGTTCACCGGACTCACGTGGGAGCGGGGCGAGGACTGGAGGGGACTCCCGTCCCCTGCCTTCCCTTTTCCGGGGGGAGCAGTGGGTGCGTGGCAAGGGGCAGGGTGGAGAGCCCCGGCACTGGGGAGCCCACACTCGGGGAAGGCAGCAGGAGGCTGGGGGAACTTACCAGAGTTGCTAGTGTGTGTGCTGTGCCGCCCGGGGTCCTGTGGGGACTGGTGCTGTATGAATACCTAGGACAGAGGGGTCGGGTCGAGCTATTGATGCGCAGACTGACAAACAGCTACTCAGCTCTAGCGACAGAGCCAGGCTGCAGAGAAACGGGCGAGCTGGACGGTGGCTGAAGACACAGGTTGAGATCGGTGAGGGATAGAGATCAAGAGACGAGGCTGGCTGCCCTGAGGGCTGCGTCCTCAACTAATTTTGGAGCCTAAATCTCATTTTCATAAGTCATTCATTAGGCACTTAGGAGTTTAAATAACATCCCCTGTCAATGGGCTTTTGGAGAGACCAGGTGGAGGAGGGAATATCTTTTACTGGAGAGACAAGCCACACAGAGCTCTTCTTCAGTCCCTGTCCCCTGACTGCCCCAGGAACCCCTGCCCCTGACTACCCCTCCTGCCCCATCCAACCCCCCCTCCTTCCTGACTGCCCCCCCAGATCCCGCCCCCATTCAACCCCGTTCCCCCCCCAACCGCCCTGACCCCTATCCACACCCCCGCTCCTGACCACCATCCTGAACTCCCCTGCCCTCTATCCAACCCCCCTTGCTCCGTGCCCCCTTACCGCGCTGCCTGGAGCACCGGAGGCTGGCAGCGCTACAGCCACGCCATCCAGCTGGAGCCAGGCCATGCTGCCGCCACCACCACACAGCTCAGAGCACCGGGTCAGGCCGGGCTCTGCAGCCCCGCCGCCCAGAGCATTGCGAGGCTGCGGGGGAGGAGGGCAGCAGGGGAGGGGCCGGGGGCAAGCCTCCCGGGCCAGGAGCTCGGGCCGGGCCGGGCAGGACAGTCCCTTGGGCCGGATGACATTGGTCACAAGGTAGTCATTATCTGAGTACATTATATTGATTTTGCAGAAAGCATGGAGGCGTACTGCATGTACTGCAACCGTGTTATTTGCAAAGGTGAAAATTAAGATTGCATGATGGTAAGAAATACAAAGTTGCATCAGAAACACACAGCGTATGTTGGAGCAGATAAACACACAGAATATGTGTGCTATGCATCCGAAGAAGTGAGGTTTTTACTCACAAAAGCTTATGCCCAAATAAATCTGTTAGTCTTTAAGGTGCCACCAGACTCCTTGTTGTTTTTGTAGATACAGACTAACACGGCTACCCCCCGATACTTGACACAGAATATGATTATTTATAGTACAAGAACAAAAGTCGTGGTTAGCTGCATATAGACCCGATGGAATAACCTGGCTAAGGGTCAGGATTCTTGTGATAATTCCACATTAGTAAATATTTCCACAGCTGTTGACAGTCATATCTTGACTAATGAATATTGTTTTATAAATGTTATGAGTTAATTGACATTATAGTTAGCATTATTAGTTCTGTGTCATTTTCTCATCTATTACTTATCCAAGTGTGAGCCCTGCCTTCCAGAGGGAATCAATGAAGACATCCTAATTGATCAGAAGAAAGTACAACTGCACAAAGTGTGCACAGTTGAAATGTTTACAAAAAACATATGGTGTATAATTATTTTCTTAAGAGAAATATTTTGGCTTTCTTGGAATTATTCAGTTGGAATATAACTGAGTAATAAAGTTCAATTTGAATATACATTTGAGTAAAGAAAAAAATGTTAACTCTGTATCCAAAAACATGTTTAGATGCTTGTTTTTTAAATAATGTTGACATGTAAAGTAAGCTATGCGTGTTTATAGACCTTGTACAATAATGAAGTTTTCAGATTTTGAAAAATACCTCTCTTTAGTTGTGTCCAGATTTAAAACAGAGATTTCATAACGGTAGCACATTGTGACAGGAGTGACTCAATCCGTCACAACGGCCGACCCTGACCTGAAGATGGAAAAACAAGAGGTAGCAAATTGTTATAGGGCAGCTAAAAAGAACACCCCAGACGTCAGTAGCTGCTACAAGTAGCCAAATCTGTCGGGAGCAGTTTTTGACATTGCACCTGCCCCACTAGGGCACCTGGGTGGCACCCAGTGTGGCGTGACCCACAGAGCTGGCTTGAGGAATCCCACCCCAGAGGGAAGGGGAGGGGCTGGCTTGTCGCATGGGAGGGAAGCGCTCTGGGGACTAAAGGAGGGTCCCAGCAGGGGCAGCCTGCCCAGGGACCGTGATGGGGAAAAGGGGCAGACAGAGCAGGGGGTAGTAGGGATGGGGGTGCGCACAGCCACTGGCATGGGGGGGGCCAAATGGGGGTGGGGGAATGGGTAGGTTCACAGAGGAGTTGCAGGGACTCCCTGAAATAGAGGGGGCTGGGAGGGTGGCATGCAGGTAGCATATGGGAAGGGGGATGGAGGGATGCCAGGAACCCCCAGGGTGTGCAGTGAGCTCAGCCTGCAGATGCTACAAATGTGTGACCCCTAGTTAGTGGGATTAACCTATGGGACTCCCTGCCATGTTATTCGATGGGGTTCACCAGTGGGACTCCCTGCCACTTGGCTATCAGTGGGGTTCACCGTTGGGACGCCCCTCTAAATCCAGAACTCAGACACACCATTTATGATTCTTTATTCTGACTTTTCCCCACTGTGACTAGTGCTGGACAGACCCAGCCCTGGCCCTGAAGAGCCATGAGATGCCGAGGGGAGGAACTGAGGATCTAGTAACCAGGGTGAGATGGGGCCCAGCCCTTTGGCTGTGATGCTCAACCCAGGCCAGAGCAAGTCCCAGGAGGAGCTGTGCCCCTCACGCCCGTCGCAGTCGGGTGCTGCTTTCCTGTCATGGTTCCTGCCTCAGGCTGACAGGGTAGCAGGGTGATCCATATCCACCATGCACAGGGTCGCTGTGCTGCACACAGTGTGCCATGGCCGTCTTCAGGCAGCGGTAGCAGAACGCCATGCAGTACTCCAGGCATGCCACCAGGGGAAAGCCTAGCTCAGTGTGGCTCACCAGGGTGTGGCACTCGGGACAGGCCCGCAGCAAGGGGCAGCCATGGACAGACGATCCCGAGGCCCGGATCTCCGGGGCGTTGTACAGCACGGCCTGTAGGAGGCACTGGGACGAGGGGTCCTTCCAGTCCATGTGGCAGCCCCAACAGAAGCAGTACAGCTCCCCGGCCCGCTGGGAGCAGGGCAGGCAGGGGGTGCGTGGGGTCCCTGGGTCCAGGACCTGGACGAGCACTGAGGGGAGATATGGGAAGCATTGACTACTAGGGTGTGATAGTCTATTCCCTCAAGCTCTGAGCTCTCTGTATCCCAGTACTAAGGCTCCCAGCCCAGTCAGTCGGAGACCCTACCCCAAAACCCTATAAAAGGGGATTTAACAATTGTAGCCTGTGTCAGAAGGGTATTGGCTGGGAATTTCCTTCGTTTTTATTTTAATTTAGTATCTATTACCTGTCAATCCATCCATCCCAATATATAATCCTCAATCCAGCCAGCCATCCCCGTCCATATCCATCTATCCATCCATCCCCATGCCCATCTGTGATGTTATTGACATGAATTGTGACCATATAGATCATTGTTGCAACCAGGTCCAATAGTTGCACATAATCTTGTACAAAGGAGGTCAAATAGGGTGTCTATGGAGAGGTTGTAATTTGCTGGTTATGATTATGCTGTCTGTATGTCTGTATCATTTTTGTATTTGAAGTATGAATATTGGCTACGTACTCGTATCTCAATGTGTTTGATTCTAGGTAACATCAGTGAAGCATTTGGTCAGCTTCTTGAGAAAGCACTATTCTAAGTAAGTGCCCAATCAAGAAACACTTAACTGACAATGGACCTTGGGAGATTCCAATCCACATCTGAGGAGCCTTCCTGGGAACGTTCAAGGTAGCATGTGAGCAATGGCTGCCGCCTGCAAACTGAGTCATGCATGGACATGTGACTTGCCCATGTGACTCCAAACTCCATCTTGCTGCTGTGATTTTCCACAGTAAGAACAAAGGGTCCTTCCACATGGCAGAGGATATAAAAGGCCCTGGGAACCCCTCCATTTTGTCTTCAGTCCTGCTTCTTACCTCTGGAGGAACTGTGCTTGAAACTGAAGCTCTGAACGACCCATCCAAGCTGGGATGTTTGTACTCCAGAGACCTGGTTGGTATAAATCAGCAGTAATCCCATCAAGCCTGAAACAAGCCTGAACTAAGAACTTCGCAATTGTTGTATGTAGTTGATTCCATTTAACCAATTTTATCTCTCATCTATATTTCTTTCTTTTTATGAATAAACCTTTAGATTTTAGATTCTAAAGGATTGGCAACAGCGTGATTTGTGGGTAAGATCTGACTGGTATATTGACCTGGGTCTGGGGCTTGGTCCTTTGGGATTGGGAGAATCTTTTTTCTTTTACTGGGGTGTTGGTTTTCATAACCATTCATCCCCATAAGGAGTGGTGCTGGTGGTGATACTGGGAAACTGGAGTGTCTGAGGGAATTGCTTGTATGACTTCTGGTTAGCCAGTGGGGTGAAACCGAAGTCCTCTCTGTTGGGCTGGTTTGCTGTGCCCTTGGGGGAGGGATAGCTCAGTGGTTTGAGCATTGGCCTGCTAAACCCAGGGTTGTGAGTTCAATCCTTGAGGGGGCCACTTAGGGATCTGGGGCAAAAATCAGTACTTGGTCCTGCTAGTGAAGGCAGGGGGCTGGACTCGATGACCTTTCAGGGTCCCTTCCAGTTCTAGGAGATCGGATATCTCCATATATTATTATTATTATTAATAATGGTAAAGGAGCCCCAGCCTTGGGCTGTAACTGCCCTGCTCTAAGCAATTTGTCCTCAATTGATACTCTCAGTAGTGTCCCACCAAAGGTCGCTTTGTTACAGCATCCCCATACACATCTATCCTTGGGCTGCTCTCTGCAACCCCAGTACCCTTTCCGGCCTTTAACAAGGCCTGCAGCCTGGGGGGTTTCCAGGCTGGAGCTCCCCCAGCTCCTCTACCCTTCCCCCAGCCCTGCTCCACTTTAGGTACTCTGTTCAGCTCCTCAGCAGCCAGGCCCTTCTCCCTCAGCAAGCTAGAGAGAGACTTTTTGCTCCTAGACCACTGCCCTCTTATAAGGGCCAGCTGGGCCCTGATTGGGGCGTGGCCACATCTGAGGATGCTTCCCCAATCAGCCTTTCCCCAGCCACAGCCCTCTCCAGGGCTGCTTTTAAGCCCTCCAGGCAGGAGCAGGGTGACCACCCTGCTACACCATCCATCCCCGTACACATCCATCCATCCACCCACACCCCATACACATTCCCATCCCAATACATGTCCTTCCATTCATCCGCATCCCCATCCACATCCCAAAACACATCCATCCATCCCCATCCAAATCCATCCTCATCCACATCCCCCATCCATCCAACCATCCATCCAAATATACAATCCTCTATCCATCCATCCCCATACACATCACCATCCGCATACACATCCATCCATCCCCATCCCATATATCCATCCAAATATACAATCCTCTATCCATCCATCCATCCCCATCCCCCTACACATCCATCCATCCATCCCCAGCCCATACACATTTCCATTCCCATACACATCCATCCATTCATCCCAATCCCCATCCCATATACAATCCTCTATCCATCCATCCCCATCCATCTATCCATCCATTGCCATCCCCATGCACATCCCCATACACAGCCATCCATCCCAATATACAATCCTCTATCCATCCATCCCCATCCATCTATCCATCCATTGCCATCCCCATCCAGCCATCCATCCCCATACACATCCCCATCTCCATCCGCATACACATCCCCATATATATCCCCATCCCCATACACATCCATCTATCCATCCCCAGCCCATACACATCCCCATATACATCCATGCATCTATCCCCATACACATATTCACAATGCCTTGAGTCCTGATAGCCCTGGTGGGGGTCAAAGCAGCCCCCCCCTTGTCTCAGATCCCCCCTCTCCAAAGCCCCTGGATCCAGCCCATGACATGGGGCACTGCAGGGCTCCCCCTGGGAGTTAAGGTCCCTCCCCCACAGACCAGCTGCCAGTCCCAGGCAGTGATAGCAGAATGGGAACCCACATTCAGGGCATACCACCAGGGGGCAGCCTTTCCCAATGTTGCTCAGGAGGGCGTGGCAACAGGGACAGGCCTGCAGCGAGGGGTGGCTGTCGATGGACAATCTTGGGGGCATCATGCAGCATGGCCTGTAGGGGGCATCACGAGTCAGCATTGGATGAGGGGTCCCTCCATTCCGTGCCGCAGCCCCAGCAGAAGCAGTACAGCCCCCTGGCCCGCTGGGAGCAAGGCAGGCAGGGGGTGCGCAGGATCCTGGGGTCCAGGGGCTGGATGAGGTGCTGGCAGCGCAGGCACTGGAGGGCAGAATGAGGGCGTGTTAGCTACTGAGACTCCACCCCACATCCCAGCCTGAGCCAGATCCAGCCGGGGGGATCAGGTCCCCCTCACTTTCCCCAGGACTCACCTGGCGGTAACTGCCCCTGACCCCCTCCTGTGCCAGGATTTGGGCCTCCAACGTGGCCTGGTCCTTGTCCAAGAAGAGCCCGAGTTTGCACAGCTCCGGCCAGAGCCAAGGGGTGTCCGGGCAGCGTGGGTAGCGGAATGAGGTGAGGCCCTGAATGGGAATGAGGGGACCTGGATCAGCCACCAATTCTCTCCTGCGGCCCCCAGCCACCCACCTACCCCACCCCCATCCCTCCCCAACTGCCTTCCTCCTTAACCCCCCAGAACTCTCCTCCCCTCTGCTGGCACCCCCCAACAACTTCCCCTCCCCATCACTCCCTCAACTGGCCCCAAAATCTGCTCTGAAAATCCAGCCTTCCCACTCTCCTCGACTCCTCCCTCCTGCAACCCCCCGCCACGCCCACCTACCCGTGCCCGGGGGGGGGGCGGCGTTTACCTGGTCCAGCAACACCCACACCCATCCCCGCAGCCCAGCTGCGCTCACCCAATGTCCTCACAGCACCCCAGGGGACCCCCCACCACCACCTGGAGGAAGAGAGGGGGAGGGGTGAAACAGGGCCCCATCCTCCTGGGAGCTCAGCTGCTCCATCCCTTCCCAAGGGATGACCCCAAAGGGCCTCCCAGGGGCAGGGATAAGGGGAGGGTCTGGGGTCTCACCTGGGGCCCCCCAAAGGGGGAAGATCACCTGGAACTGCTCAGCAGCGCCCACCACTGCCCCGATGCCATTGCAGGCTGCCGGGATCATCTGTCCTGGGCTGGGAAACACCCCCCCCCCCCGCAGGAATCCACCCGCTTTCCCTTTCTGCCCAGCCCCCCAGCAATACCGGTGCCCCTCACTCCCGACCTGCAGCCCCTGCTAGGCCAGCCTGGGGGTCCCTAGCAGTTCTGCCAGTGATCCCCACTCCAGACCCACAGTCCCTGCTAACCCAGCCTCCCTTCTCTGCTGGTGCCCCTCGCTCCCGACCCGCAGCCTCCTGCTATCCTAGCCCTGGGCTCCCCACCCCCAGCTCTGCCAGTGCCCCTCGCTCCCGACCCGCAGCCTCCTGCTAGCCCAGCCCTGCCTCGCCCAGCCCCGCAGGTGCATTACGTTCCTGGCCCAGAGGCTGAGGAAAGCGGACAGCAGCCGGTTGTGCAGGGCAGCTGCAACTCTCACCCAGCTGTCAGTAACTGAGCACAGTGTGAGGCACCGGCAGAGCTGGGGCGGGGGGGACCCAGGGCTGGGCTAGCAGGGGGTTGCGGGTCCGGAGTGAGGGACCCTTGCAGAACTGGGGGGCTGGGCACCGTAGGGAGGCAAAAGCGAAAGGGAAAGCGGGTGGATTCCCGCGGGGTTTCCCAGCCCAGGACACATGATCCCGGCAGCCTGCGATGGCGTCGGGGCAGTGGCGGGCGCTGGCCGAGCAGTTCCAGGTGATCTGCCCCCCCGGGGGGGCTCCAGGTGAGACCCCGCCCCCCCTTTCCCTCCCCTCCCCCCGTGGGGCCCTTTGGGGTCACCCCAGGGGAAGGGCTGGAGCAGCCGAGCTCCGGGGGGGTCGGGCCCTGTCTCACCCCGCCCCCTCTCTCCCTGCAGGTGCGGGGTCCCCCGGGGTGCTGCGAGGACGGGCGTCCTGTGGGCACTGGGTGAGCGCGGCTGGGCTGCGGGGCTGGGTGCGGGCGCTGCTGGACCAGGTAACCCCCTGCCGGGGTTGGATCTTCAGGGGAGATTTTGGGGGTGGTTGAGGGAGTGATGGGAAGGCAGGTTGGGTGGGGGGTGCCAGGGGAGGGGGATTAGATGCGGAGTGACGGGACGGGTTCCGGGGCTTGAAGGGGGAGGGGTCCGTTGGGGTGATGGGGAAGGGGAGGGGTCAGGGAGTGCCAGGGGCATTGGATGTGGGGTGATAGGGGAAGGGGGGTTAAAGGTGAAGGATCAGTTGGGGTGAGGGTTTGGGGGGAGGAGTCAGTTGGGGTGATGGGGAAAGGGAGGGCTAGGGAGGACCAAGGTATTGGATGAGGAATGACAGTGGGAGGAGATTTAGGGGGAGGGGTCAGTTGGGGTGATGGGGAAGGGGAGGGGTTAGGGGGTGCCGGGGGATTGGATGTGGAGTGACAGGGGAAAGGGAGTGGGGTTTAGGGGGGTGGGGTCGATTTGGGGTGATGGGGAAGGGGAGGGGTTAGGGGGTGCTAGGGGGATTGGATGAGGAGGGAGAGGGGAAGCGGAGAGGGTTCAAGGGGGAGGGGTCAGTTGGGGTGATAGGTGAGAGGGTTCAAGGGGGAGGGCACTTGGGGAGGGATGGGGGTGGGGTAGGTGGGTTGCCGGGGGCTGCAGGATAGGGGAGAATTGGTGGCCGATCCAGGTCCCCCCATTCCCATCCAGGGCGTCACCTTATTCCGCTGCCCCTGCTGCCAAGACACCCCTTGGCTCTGGCAGGAGCTGTGCAAACTCGGGCTCTTCTCAGATGAGGACCAGGCCATGCTGGAGGCCCAAATCCTGGCACAGGAGGGGGCCAGGGACAACTACCGCCAGGTGAGTCCTGGAGGAGGCCGGGGGGATCCCAGCCCCCCCGTCCCAGATGAGTGAGTCTCAGTAGCTAACGATGAATGGATGGATGTGTGTGTCTGGGGATGGATGGATAGATGGGTGTATATGGGGCTGGATGAGTGTGTATAGAGGGGTATGTATGGGGAGGAATGGGTGCGTATATAGATAGATATATAGATAGAGGGGCTGAATGGAGATAGATAAAGAGAGAGAGAGAGAGAGAGAGATACTATATTAAAACAAAAGCTAAGGAAATTCCCAGCCAATAACCTTGTGAAACTGGCTACAATTGTTAAGTCTCCATTTATGGTATTTTGCGGTGGGAGGAGGGGCATCTCCAGCAGGCTGGGCTGGTGCACTGAGAGCTCAGAGCCCAGGGGAACAGAGGAGACATCATGCACCAGTGGCTAACTGCATGCCATGACTTCCCCTAGTGCCCGCGCTGCCAGCACCTCGTCCAGCGTCTGGACCCCGGTAGCTTGCGCACCCCCTGCCTGCCCTGCTCCCAGCGGGCTGGGGAGCTGTACTGCTTCTGTTGGGGCTGCCGCACGGACTGGAAGGACCCCTCGCCTCAGGGAAAATCCTGCTCCAATCCCCAGTGCCCCCTGCAGGCTGCGCTTTACGACACCCTGGAGATCCAGGCCCCGGGATCGTCTGTCCATGGCTGCCCCTCACTGCGGGCCTGTCCCGAGTGCCACACCCTGGTCAGCCACACTGGGCTAGGCTGCCCCCTGGTGGAGTGCCCGGAGTGCTGGACAGAGTTCTGCTACCGCTGCCTGAGGGACCATCTCGGGGAGGACGCCGACGAGACCGAGTGGGAGCATGACGAGGATGAAGACCTGGATTACGATAATTCCTTGGAGGCCAGCTGCAGTATTGCCGGGAGGCAGGAGCTGAACAGGTCCCCCTAGCCCAAGGGAGACCCTGACTCAACCCCTGCTGCGACCCCTGAGAACTCCCCTCCTGCCTCCCCAAGGCCAGATCCCGCCCCATCACATTCAGCCCCGTTCCCAGGTTTTGGGGACCCCCAGGGGCCCGACCCCCCCTCCTTGCTCACAGGATGCCAGGGGCAGTGCACTGCAGGGAGGAGTAATGCCTCTGCCAGAGATAGGGGTGCAGGCACCTGTGACGAAGTGGGGATTTTCCCTTGTCATGTTGTATGTGAGTCTTACTGTTGAGCAGATGTGAGTTTTACTGTTTTGCATGAATACTGTGTGTGCCTCAATTTCCCTGTGTGCTGCACTGATACCTTGGTGGTGGGAATAGAGGTGTGTGACTTTGGCTGAGACCTCTGGACAGGTGAAGCTGCTCCAGCTGCCTGCACATATGCCCTTTGTAACTTGAGACCCAGGAGGGGGATGCAACCAGGTGATGAGCAGGTGACTGCCCCGGAAAAAAAGAAGGAGGAGGAGCAAGCTGGGCAGTCTGCTTGGGGGTCTGGAAGAGGGGGAGGCCAGGCCATCTGGCCCAGGACTCCCCAAGATGGACTTTGCTGAAAGTCACTGATTTCTGTGCTGATAAGTTCTGTTCTACGCTGTGTTCCTGTCGACTAATAAACCTTCCATTTTATGCGGGCTGAGAGTCACTGCTGACTGCAGAGTTGGGGTGCAGGGCTCTCTGGCTTCTCCAGGAGCCCCGCCCAGGCGGACTCATTGTGGGAAGCGCACGGTGTGGAAGGGGATGCTGAATGCTCCAAGGTCAGACCCAGGAAGGTCGAAGCTGTGTAAGCTTCTTGCCCTGGAGACAGTCTGCTCCGAGAGAGGAGGCTCTTCCAGAGTCCTGGCTGGCTTCGTAGGGAGTAGTTCCAGAGCGTCGCCTGGTGACTCTATGACAGGGCTATTGCCCCATCTCTTGGGTATTGGGGTGTAGAGAGAACTGACACCTCTCCTAGCTATTGGGCTGCAGGGGCCATTGCCCCATCTCCTGGGTATTGGGGTGCAGAGAAGACTGACACCTCCCCCAGATACTGGAGTGCAGGGGGCATTTCCTCCTCTATAGCCTATTGGGATGCAGTGGGCACTGCAGCTTCACCTGGCTGCTGGGGGACAGGACTAGTGGGCCTGTCCCGAGTGCCACACCCTGGTGAGCCACCCTGTGCTAGGCCGTCCCCTGGTGGAGTGCCCGGAGTGCTGGTTGGAGTTCTGCTACCGCTGCCTGGGGGACCATCTCAGGGAGAACGCCAACAAGACAGAGTGGGAGCATATCCCCCATTAGGCCAGTAGGGGAGATAAGTCCCCCAGCATCACTGCTCCCCTGTCCTCTAGGCAGAGGTGGGAGTTTTATGGGCCTGTGGTGCCCATGCTCCAGCAAATTCAGGGCCACCTGGGCCCGGATCCAGCAATGTTCAGGGCCTGGTCTCTCCCCCGGCCCCGCCTGCCGCTCCCTCGCGCCTCCCTCCTCCCTGCCTCACCTGCGCCCTGGGCAGAAGGCGGCTGCCCCCTGTAGCTGCGCACTGTACTCCCTTGCTGCCTGCCCACTGCAGACTGACTGACTGACTGGAGGCGCAGTGGCATCCCCTCCCCATCCCGGCAGAAACTCCGAGGGGGCTTATCTTGTCTGGATCTCCTGAGCAGCAGCCTGGGGCTTGGGTGAGGGGCCCTCCCCTGGAGCACGCTGCTGCTGGTGGGGAGAGGGCTGGGGGAAGTCCTCCTCTCTGGCCCCAGCCCTGGGCAGCCTGTCTACTGCACCCAAAGTTTGAACTCATCCCCGGCCCAGCCCAGAGCTCGCACCCCCAACAAGAGTCCTCACACACCCCCGTCCCCAACCGTCTGTCCCAGCCCTGAGCCCCCTCCTGCAACGTGAACCCCTCATCCCCAGCCCCTCCCCACAGCCCTCACCCCCGCACCTCGACCCTCTGCCCTACCCTGATCCTCCTCCCACCTTCCAAACCCCTCAGCCCCACTCCATTAATTTTGTGTAATAATAATCAACAATGGATAAATTCTTAATAAAGTTACCCTGTGTGACAAAGTGGGGGATTTTCTTGTTTTTTTCCCCTTGTTTTTCCAATGGTTTGCATGCAGAGGAGGTGGGACTCAGTTTCCCTGGGTGTTACTGGTTTAATGAGGTGATAGGAGAAGGAGTTTGTTGTTACAGAGGACCTGAGAGGGAACTTGGGACCCCGGCCAATGGCCCGGAGAATGGATACCCCAGCGACTGGTGATCTGGTGACCCAAAGGCCCAGCTTGGTAGTAACAGCCAGTTCTTGCCAGTGGGAGGACACTGGGCTGCGAAGAGAGCACCCCAGTGACCTAACCAGCCAGAGGGGGCCAGAGGACAAAAGAGAGGAGAGGAGAGGAGGCCCAGGTGACCCTGTTTACCTGGAGAGAAGACAATGGACAGAGGCGGGGCTTGGGGGAGGTGATATCAGATGCCCAGCTGGGAAGCAGGGGGGCTCTGGGCTGGAGAGGGAGAGCAGGCAGAGCCCACCTGGATGCAGGGGAGACTGGGATGTACTGTGCTGAGGGAGGCCAGGCCTGAAGGCCCTGAGAGTTTCTTATACTGTGTTCAAACGGTCAGTGTTTTACACTGGCTGAGTGTCACTCCAGTCTAGAGAGCAGGGTTGCGTTATTCCCTTTGGGAGTGGAGGCCCCGGGGGTCCAGGGCAGGTGGACTCC